ACTTTTAATGGGATACAGCTATTGATTTTGAGAAAACGAATCCATTCCTTATCTTGGACACACTTCATAGAGCAGGGAGCGAGGAAATACCGTTGACTGTGTATATTGGTGGTGAAAAGTAAATAAAACTACTGACAAAAGTGTATGAAAACAAGTAATCAATGTCTTTTTGAAACAAATAGTCAGTAATTATAATAGCGGTTTCACAGATCAGATCAATTTTATATTCAGGAAGTACGCGTCTGTGCAATACATCAAGTTCAGCGGGTTAATCACAGATTATACAGAAGACTAATGCTCATACTCGATTTGATATATTATCAAGATGTCTGCCGCCTACAGTTATGAGAGAACGCGTGTAATAAACCCAAACCCGCACATTTTGCAAAATATTTGTTTTTAAAAATGCAATTATATTAATTGTATTACAGTGCTTGCATGTTGACATTGTGGTGGTATCCCTCTGTCTATTGAACAGGAGGACATGAAGGCATTTAATGCGCTGTCAGATTTTGTAAAACGTGTAATAGCCAAAAAAGATACATTTCATTGTTTTTTACATCTTTCATAATGCATAGAACTAATTACGCTCCACATATGTACTTTTATTTTAAGGCACTACACATAAGTTAATCATGATTTTCCTTTCTTTTAATTTAATTTCAATGTTGAATGTTTTCGAATATTTATGTCAGACATATTTTGAAAAGCTATTAGCGCCCTCTACGCTGAACAATCTGCATTGATGGAATTATCGCCATCAAGTGTTGAAATTTTGAACATTAATTATTTTATCCGTAGGTCATGTTTGACTTTCTGTTTGCATTGTGGGTATTTGAGCACTGTATTTTGGGGTAAAGGGTCAATCCGTAATAAAATCCGGTAATGAATGTAAATATATTTCAGAATTGGATTGACAATTGTGCTTATAAAATATACTTATAAAATATACTTGAATTATTTTGTGCTTCTAAACAACTAATAGATAGGTATTGTGCAATTGTTCATAGAAATAATTTATTTCATCGTGTGACCTCAATTTTATGTACATAATATAACATAATCAAGTGTTATTCATCTGATATTTCGAACTTGTAATATGGTTTGAATAGATTGTTTAGATCTGTGTTTATTACAAGGATTACTTAGGGAATAAACGACGACACGATGTCCATTACAGCGTGATACTAGGGCAATCCAAATGAGACGTCTTGGCCTTTTTTTAAGGTCCCATGCTGTTTCACATTCGTCAATTAAATATACACCATTGATATACCAAGCGAACTGATATATTTGCATAATGATTAAATCATATACACAACTATTTTAATAGAGTGAATGATTTTCAAGACTTCACGTGACGTGGCTAGTTACCAATCAAACATCAATCATGTCCATATAGACACATGTCAAGAAACCTAAACGGTGCCTCCTCCACTCAAAAGCTAATACGTTTCGCTCATAGGTTCAGAATACGACATTTTACGCAATGGGGTGTGCAGGTTGCCACAGTAGTCGAACTTACTTCTGATGTTGGTCGGATACATTAATGATACATATGTTTCTTATCGGATGCCATATGTCAGATCATGTGTAAACATGAAACTTCCCTGTGAAATGTTTAAAGATTACGAAATTATATGAATAAATGTTACATACTGGATTAGAAATTACATCATCAAATTTGTACATTAGAGATACAAAGTAGTTTCACCATCACTTTTAATGGGATCTACTTATTGATTTTTTAAAAAACAAGCCACCCCTTATTTAGAACAAAATTATTTTCATCCTCAAGATTTGAAGATTCATTGCGCCGACCAGCATTGCAGTATTGCCATTAACACATTCTGATAATTCCCGGAGATCCTCTTTCAGCCCAGGTTCCACAGAAAACTAGTGTGAATTTTCATACATATACTATTTTCCACAGTGTACTTGTCCAAATCTATATATTGTTGATGAGCAGGTTCGAACTGTAATTTTCAGTTGACAAAATTAATAACACGATTGTATCGACATGATTTCACATTCAACTTACTATTCACAACCGTATTTTTCTGTCTTCAAAATGATTATTTCTCATGGTTGGCCGTTCGTATTTTAACAAAGGATTTCTTCTGATCGAATGTAACCTGACGAGAGTCGTCTATCGGGACAAACAAAATAGTTGTAGTACACGCACACGATAAGGAGGGAGTTCAGAGAGGCAACAGCCATCACGAGGTGAATATGAATCTGGACAGTTTATTTACGTTATTACATGTGATATTAGGTTATGAGGGATGTTGAGTCTGAGAATTTACACTAAATGAACCAAAAAGCATGCGTTAGATATGCGCCTATGCTGAATATTATTTGCCAGTACTTAATCTATTTTCAACCCCCTGACTACTAAATTGACACTGGCTGTTTATCCTGTTGTGTTACTATTTGGGCTGACTGATAACAGACGTCCGTCCAAAACATGCGGAGAATGGCCATTCTGCGATTACCCAGGGGATCTCCTCTCGGTTGGGTTCCACATACAACTGGTGTGAATTTTATACATATACTACGTTCTACAATGCACTTGACCTTTATCATTTTTAAATATAAAACTGATGTGAAATGATATTCTAATTTGGTACTCTGTGCATGTTAGCTTGGTTAAAACGACTTGCCATTGTAAGTATAACCTAATATAAATATGTAATTACTGTCAGCTTTAAGAAATACGGTTCCAACATAATACCTCGTTTCAACAGTTTGGTGTTTGATCACTGCATTAAATGTAACCGACCTTCTCTTAAATGGCAGACATATCCTTCAACTTGTAGATGCAATCGAGGAAGTTTGCATGTACATAATAGGCATACAAAACTCATGCTGTCCACAAATATCATTCTTTCCTTTTATATGTACATTATCATTATTTAAAAATGTCATGGAACTTCACACAATTACACAACCAAAATAGCTTAACTGTATTTGGAGTGATAACGCAAATTATTGCGTATTGACTAATGTATGTGAATAATACAAACTCTTGCTCTCTCTGAATACAAAATATTCATTCGAATTTTCCAATATGCATATTAAACTGATGCAACTTTTACTATTAAAACATACATGGCTGCAAAACGTAAAACAAATTCTTTTCAAACACGCAAATTTAAATTGACAGAAATATGCTAAGAATAAGTGCATATCAGTTATCATATTTTAATAATAATGGCAAAGTGGAAAGTTTTCCTCTACTAATTAAGGCATGGTCATATTTGCGTTCCTACTCCAAATATTTGATATTATTTATAACATCATGTTTAACAGCAAAAACAACAGCAAGTGGGAACTTTTTTCCTAACCTT